CATGCAGTACAGTACACATGCAGTACAACTAGAAACAGATTCGTACGAACGCCTCCATCAACTGGACTGTTCTTCATGTTCATGTTGCATGACAGCTGTAATAATATTTTGAGCTGAAGTTGAAATTTACATGGTCTGTAATGGACAAAGTTTAACTAATTAAAACTAACTAAATTTTTTTTTTTAATTATTGAAATACGTTTGTCAACACGGGCAGCCCGACAGCTGACATGTTCATTAACACATGTTTAATTATTGAAATACGTTTGTCAACATGGGCAGCCCGACAGCTGACATGTTACTCATTAACACATTTTTAATAAGCTAGTTACCAGGTAACTTGTACATGTATGTACTATAATATAACTTCTTACACTGAATATTCATACAAACTAACTAACTAACTAACTGTACTATTAGATAAACCTGCCGTACGTAGCAGAACTTGCTTTAAATCTTAACTTCTGTTTCGCTGCCTCTCCGCTCTCTAGTTTCCTCGTCTGTGTTTTTCTATTTCCACTGAGACTTTTCTCATTTCCTCTCTTTTTCTGGCTGTCGTTTCCTGCCTCCTCTTCCTCCTCCTCCTCCTCCTCCTCTGGTGCCCGGTCTAAGGTGAAGACCTGGAGAGGAATGATGGCTCTTCCTCCAGGCCGTACTACATGTCACCAGGCTTGCACAGGATCCTGCACAGAGGAGAGGAGGGTTCCAAATCACGCTCTGCCTCCTGAGCGATGGCTCTCTCACTCCTCTGTTAGTGCCGTATGGACGGGGGTGTGTAATGTATCAGAGCCAGAATCTTAGGGCTAGATATCAAAAATAAACGCACCCCGGCCTGGCCCTGCATCGCCTGGATATGAAAGCACAGGCTTTTACTACTGATTCACACAGAAAAGGCATCGGAAAGATGAAAAAAAAGAAAAGAAAACAACACAAAACAAAAAAATAAAAATAAAAATGAGACATCACTTTACTTCCACTTTTGAGCCAACTCAGATTCCTGCCTTTCCCTCCTCCTGTTCTCGTGTCTTTTCTGATTTTTCTGCTGACCTCTGCCTTACAGAGAGGACACTGTGGACCGGCAGACGGATGCACAGACAGACAGACATTTAAAAATATATGAGCATTTTAACCCAAGACTCTGACATGTACAGACACCAACTGACGGTGTAAAGCATCACCGCTGAATGGACTCGTGTCGCACTTTGGTGTAAAATCATGTTTTGTACGCACTTTCACATGTGGGGAAAAAAGAATCCTTGATTCCTTGGCGGGGCTACCAGTGTTTACCATCAGCTGTAAAGGTCTTTTGAACCACTGTATTTATACTGACACAACAATGGTAACGGGGGGAAAAGTGACATCTGTTTCTGAGTCGACTAATTTACTCATGGATGTGCTGTAGACCGGACACAGAACTTTGCGGGAGGACAAGACTTTTGAGGATGTTTAAAGGTTTGGTTTCAACATCTGAAGTGAGGCGGACAGTTTTCAGGAACCCTCTGAATGCAGCCACTAGTTTATGTGCCTAGTTGTGGACAAACAAAAGCATTCGTTCCTCTTGTTCTGTGGTTTTAGATCTAACCCCAGGAACCTTTTGCGATACAATTTATAAAAAGGATGTCAAAGCCATTTTTGGTAATTTTTTTATCATGGATGATTCAGATGTAGTGCTGTTTTAATACTGAGTATAATACACACATCTGTCCGGAGGCCGTTCGGTGTTCTTTTTGTATAGGGACATTTTTTCAAATCGAAAGAATTCTGATTCAAATGTGAGTAACTTTTTTTGAATAAACACCGATGGTGGAAGTCTTGTCTTTTCCTGTGCCAACTAACTTTGTCAACATTGCTGCTGATGCTGCCTCCTAGTGTGGGACCTGGAGGTGAACGACGGCTCTCGTCAGAAGCCCTACTACATGAGCGAGTCCCTGCGGAGCATCTTCAAGAAAAGCTGACGAGGAACCGAGATGGAAGGTGAGAGGAGAGTCTGCCCAGGCAGGGTTTCAAGACACGTTCAATAGACGACACGATGTGTTTTAAATATGCAGTACAGTACACATGCAGTACAACTAGAAACAGATTCGTACGAACGTCTCCATCAACTGGACTGTTCTTCATGTTCATGTTGCATGACAGCTGTAATAATATTTTGAGCTGAAGTTGAAATTTACATGGTCTGTAATGGACAAAGTTTAACTAATTAAAACTAACTAAATTTTTTTTTTTAATTATTGAAATACGTTTGTCAACACGGGCAGCCCGACAGCTGACATGTTCATTAACACATGTTTAATAAGCTAGTTACCAGGTAACTTGTACATGTATGTACTATAATATAACTTCTTACACTGAATATTCATACAAACTAACTAACTAACTAACTGTACTATTAGATAAACCTGCCGTACGTAGCAGAACTTGCTTTAAATCTTAACTTCTGTTTCGCTGCCTCTCCGCTCTCTAGTTTCCTCATCTGTGTTTTTCTATTTCCACTGAGACTTTTCTCATTTCCTCTCTTTTTCTGGCTGTCGTTTCCTGCCTCCTCTTCCTCCTCCTCCTCCTCCTCCTCCTCTGGTGCCCGGTCTAAGGGGAAGACCTGGAGAGGAATGATGGCTCTTCCTCCAGGCCGTACTACATGTCACCAGGCTTGCACAGGATCCTGCACAGAGGAGAGGAGGGTTCCAAATCACGCTCTGCCTCCTGAGCGATGGCTCTCTCACTCCTCTGTTAGTGCCGTATGGACGGGGGTGTGTAATGTATCAGAGCCAGAATCTTAGGGCTAGATATCAAAAATAAACGCACCCCGGCCTGGCCCTGCATCACCTGGATATGAAAGCACAGGCTTTTACTACTGATTCTCACAGAAAAGGCATCGGAAAGATGAAAAAAAAGAAAAGAAAACAACACAAAACAAAAAAAATAAAATAAAAATGAGACATCACTTTACTTCCACTTTTGAGCCAACTCAGATTCCTGCCTTTCCCTCCTCCTGTTCTCGTGTCTTTTCTGATTTTTCTGCTGACCTCTGCCTTACAGAGAGGACACTGTGGACCGGCAGACGGATGCACAGACAGACAGACATTTAAAAATATATGAGCATTTTAACCCAAGACTCTGACATGTACAGACACCAACTGACGGTGTAAAGCATCACCGCTGAATGGACTCGTGTCGCACTTTGGTGTAAAATCATGTTTTGTACGCACTTTCACATGTGGGGAAAAAAGAATCCTTGATTCCTTGGCGGGGCTACCAGTGTTTACCATCAGCTGTAAAGGTCTTTTGAACCACTGTATTTATACTGACACAACAATGGTAACGGGGGGAAAAGTGACATCTGTTTCTGAGTCGACTAATTTACTCATGGATGTGCTGTAGACCGGACAGAGAACTTTGCGGGAGGACAAGACTTTTGAGGATGTTTAAAGGTTTGGTTTCAACATCTGAAGTGAGGCGGACAGTTTTCAGGAACCCTCTGAATGCAGCCACTAGTTTATGTGCCTAGTTGTGGACAAACAAAAGCATTCGTTCCTCTTGTTCTGTGGTTTTAGATCTAACCCCAGGAACCTTTTGCGATACAATTTATAAAAAGGATGTCAAAGCCATTTTTGGTAATTTTTTTATCATGGATGATTCAGATGTAGTGCTGTTTTAATACTGAGTATAATACACACATCTGTCCGGAGGCCGTTCGGTGTTCTTTTTGTATAGGGACATTTTTTCAAATCGAAAGAATTCTGATTCAAATGTGAGTAACTTTTTTTGAATAAACACCGATGGTGGAAGTCTTGTCTTTTCCTGTGCCAACTAACTTTGTCAACATTGCTGCTGATGCTGCCTCCTAGTGTGGGACCTGGAGGTGAACGACGGCTCTCGTCAGAAGCCCTACTACATGAGCGAGTCCCTGCGGAGCATCTTCAAGAAAAGCTGACGAGGAACCGAGATGGAAGGTGAGAGGAGAGTCTGCCCAGGCAGGGTTTCAAGACACGTTCAATAGACGACACGATGTGTTTTAAATAAAAACATGAGCACTTTAATGGACGGACGAGCTCGGGATCTGCACAACTTTGCATTTCCTTCACCTGCAAAGGTACGGCTTGATATGTTTGGTCTTTGTGTTTTATACCAACTTCAGTTTAATGTAGTTTCAAAGTAAATTTAACATTTCTGAGTTTGTCTAAATACAAACAAGGTAAAAAATAATGTAGTTTCAAAGTAAATTTAACATATTTTTGAGGTTATTTGTGTAAAAACAAAAAAGGTAAAAATAAGGTTTTAAACCTGATTTTTTTTTTGTTTAAATCAGTCATTCTTATTTATCCTCAGCTTCAGTAATTCTGTGGCCTCGGCCTGACTGTCTTTCAGTCTTTTGACCACGTGGTGGTGCTATACTTGACCAGACTCCTGATTGCGCACACAATCGGCCGACTGCAGTTCCTTCAGTCGGCCTGTATGTGGGCTCATTGTACAAATAATGTCTCATATTGAAGACACGGAAATTGATTTTTTTTTCCCCTGTTTTTCTGATGTGGGTGTGAAAACACGGTGTTGTTGATTTTCTTTTTTTTTTTCTTCTTTTTTTGCATTTTTTTAATGCATTCTTTATGCATCTATGTTTGTTGAATTTCAAACAAAAACAACCTGATACACATTGGTCTCTACATGAACGCTAAACAAAAAAACCCAACGATTTCTAAATCTACACTCATTCATCTGATTTGCTGTGGCCTAATCATCATTTTTTATATTTATTATTTAATCTTCCAAAGACAGTGTTGTTCTGTAGAGCAGAAATCTGTCACTAGTTCTGGGGGAAAATATATTTGGCTTTAATATAAAACAATATTTCTAAACAGAACTGGACTGAAGTCTAGTTTGTTTTTTGTAGTGCATAATTTTTTTTTTTTGTTAATTGCCGTCGGTGTCAGTAGACGACAAGGTCAGGCCTCTGTAATGGACTCAGTACAGACGCGTCACCGGGCAGACTGTCAATGACATGACGTTGTTTGATTGTGATTGGACGTCACCATATTGTTGATTCAGTGTGACTTCAGCTGGAGAAGAAACAAAAGTCTCCCTCACAGCTGTGGGGTTTTCTTGAAGGATGACAGGATAATGTTGAGTTTGTAAAAGTTTTTTTTTATCAAAGTAAATAGAAATATGATGATGACCTTTGTCTCTGGAGGAAGGAGAAATGTTGGTGGAGTCTGGTCGAAGTCAGGAGCTGAGAGTTTTGGTTAGTTTTTGTTGAGATATCCCAATACTTACGGCATTGTTTCCCAAAGACTGGGTCACGACCCTCAGGTGGGTCGCAAGTGGTTTTTTTTGGTTTTTTTTGGGGGGGTCGTCTCACATCCTGTTTCCCAGGAATTTACGAATAATGTCTATTGACTTTGGTCGCGAAGGTTTGTGACTTTTAAAATATGGGTCCCCCCAAAAAAAAAGTTTGGGAAACACTGCTGTTCAGTTAGCTTGGTTATTAGCTTGTATGGTTTTACAGCAGCGCCATTGGTGAACGTCCCTAAGTGACTCTTTTTTTTAAAAGTATCTGTTATAAAAAAAACAAAGCGCCCACTGGTGGACCTTTTTTTTTTTTTGTTAAACCAAATCAGCGAGACGTTGTCGTTGTTTGACTAACACAAACAGGAAGTCTCCGTCTGCGTCCCTCCGTACCTCTCTGACCTTCAGATCTCTCAGTGAGAGATGTGAGTCGTCCTGTTGTCTTCATCAAACCTAACCCTCATGAGTGACACTGCTGTCGCCCCCCCGCACCCCGCCCCTCCCTTCCAGCTGAACGTGCAGGGACACGTGTGACGTTAACCATTCAGTGAAAACAAAAGCCATAGGTTGGTAAAAAACTCTGAGAAGAAAACAGATGCTGACAGACAGAAACAAACAAACCAACCGTCCTGTCAGGGAGCGACTGTGTCTGTGCTTCAGCTCCACTCTCGTGTGGGTGAATACCTAAGATCTGATAAGTGGAGTAAAACTGTTTTTATACGCTTGCCTCCTCCTCCCACGTCTGAGAATTAGATTCTTTTGGTCAACCACAGTCAACAAGTACACACAAGTACTACGTCTCTCTTTGTCGGGAAGGGCGGCACTTTTCTTTCTGCAAAACACTTAAAAGAAAATTAAACCTCGCAGATGCAGAAGTTAACCCTGTCATTTTGATGAGCAAATGATTTGTGTTTAGTATATAAGTCGGTGTGACTGTGTTGGTGTCATCAGAACGTTATTTTTCCAATAAATATTTTTTAGTCTTTTTAGACACAAGACTCTCAGCTTTTGTGAAATTAGACATTTATTTTATTTTATTTTTTATTGGTTTTTTGTTTTTTTTTACCTTTCAAAACTGACATCACATCCAATAAATAAATTAAATTTCAAATGTTCAAACACTGCTTTTACAAACAAAAAGTTCAAGTTAACCTCGGGCTCCGGTGAGTAGTTCACATTGAGTAGCACTGAGTCACCAACGACACAAACAGAGACGGTCAAGACTGTCCAACGTCCGAATGCAGTGTAGACACGTCCGTCTCACTGTACAGTGAAGTCAGCAGGTCTGAGTGTGTGTATGTGTGTGTGTGTGGGGGGGGGACGGTTCATAAATTATATTTACAGTGGAGATGTGTGTGTGTGTGTGTGTGAGGGAGTGCAGCTCAGGCGTGAGACACAGGCAGGGAGGTCATGGCATGGGTCGGCAGCAGCGGCTGGAACATGGATGGAGGCGGGTGAACTGTGGACACACACACACACACACACACACCAGAGTCGTTAGAGTTGTCACCGACTGCCTGTGAAAAAACTGTAGTATTACTGTATACTAATACGTCAGAAATACTGGGATCATTTGTCGTTCTAGTCTTTCCTAGAAGTCGAGCCACGCCCGCTCATTGAGATCAATGGATGTTTTGAAAAAAAGCGTCACATGATCTGAACAGGATTGGACTGAATGTTGAGGGACATTCTTTGTATTCTTTGATGGAGGATTATGGTATAATCTGTTAAAGAACATGACACGTGTTTTTAATCCAGTGTCCACAAAGCTCTGTTTGTTTTGGCATTTTGTTTAATGCGTAAATTATTTCTCCATTAAAGACAAACTGTTAACCTGACTCTCTAAGAAGTCAGACATTTATACTCTGGAAGAAAAAAATAATAATACTGTATTTTTAGTAAATATATATATACAAAAAATACAGTATATACAGTATATATACTGTATTTTGTGTATGTATATATATATTCCAAAAGCATATTTATGCATATTTACAATGGCAATACACTGTGTACTGTTCAATGGCATATATATATTTTTCATATATTTATATATATATATTTTCAAATATATATATATATATATATTAAGCAACATGTAAATTCACACTGCCTGTTGAGTGTGATCTTTATTTTGGCGGGTTTTCACACTGGTTCTAAATTCTATATTTAAACTCTGGTTTTATTTTTATTTTTTTTCACCATTCTGTTAAAATACTACAGTGAAACGAACACATTCTTCAACGTACTGTCGTTGTCAGAAACACTCAGAAAGAAGGACGTCACAGTAAATCCCGTCCTTACTGTCTATGAAGGAGTGCAGTGCAGAGAGCATTGACCCGTCTGGGCCTCCGTAGGTGGTGTACTGCAGCTCCTCTGGAGTGGGCGTGGGCTGGGACAGACGAGCGGGCTGCAGCGAGGTCATGTGGGCGCCAGGGTTGTGGTTCGGACTCACGTGTTTCTTGTGGCGAGCCCTGCAGTTCTGGAACCAGACCTGAGTCAACAGGTGGAGGCGTCGTGAGATGTAGTTACTCTGGTGGTCAATGTTTAACTTAGTTAACCCGTCAGGTTCACCCCAACATTACGGTCTCCATTTTTAAATGTTTTTGAATCAATCGTTATAATTGAAATAATTAAAAATAAAACTTTTTGAACATTTATAGATAAATTCCATATGAATTGTTGCTTCTTTTACATCTCATTAGAAAAATCTTCCACATTTGTTCTGTTAAAAGGATAAAAAATAAAGGTGGAAATGGTCTATTTTTCATTCAAATGAACAAGTGCTTGTTGTCAATACCACCTTAATTGAAAAAATAAAAAACTAGTGTAAAAAAAATACACGAGTAAAAAAACTGTAGCAGAAAAAATGTAACATAGAATCTACTAGAAGAGCGCTGATTAACATGAAATTTAATTTAGTCATTTAGAGAATCAGTCAGTCAGTACGTGTACTGTCTGGTTCTTCTCGACTGTTCCGTCAACCATCTCTCTGTCCTCCTTAAATCAGTTCATCAGTCTCCTCCCAGGTCTCTCTATCTTCCTCCTCGTTGCTGCTCCGTCTCCAACCTCCTTTTGTCCAACATCCAACATGTCCAGTGTCCTGTCCACCTCAGTCTCACCCCTCTGACTTCACCCCCGCCTCAGCCTCACCCCTCTGACTTCACCCTCGCCTCAGCCTCACCCCTCTGACTTCCCCCCCACCTCAGCCTCACCCCTCTGACTTCACCCCCAGTAGATCGTGTCACCTCTCCTCCTGTCCGTCCTGGTCCTAACCCCTGACTTAAAAAAAACCTCATCTTCATTTTCATTTCTGCCGCCTGAAGTTCAACAAATGTCACCGTCCTCTCCTCACATTCCAGCCCGTCTACACCCTCACTTTACTGCCCTCTGTGCCAACACTAATTGTCCGGTGCAACCAGTTTTTTAAATGAAGGCACATATTTGTAAACCAACATCAGCAGTTGGTGCCGTTGGAGTCAAAACAAAGGAGTTTATTGTTTATTTCATGAAAATCCCGTCGTCGATGCCTAACGCCCCCTCATTTATATCTGCACTTCTTTCCTGTGAGCTTTTATTTTGAAGTTATTTTGCCAAGTCATGCTCCGTCCGTCTCTCCACTCACCTGTATGACCCGTCGGCTCAGGCCCGTCTGCTCCGCCAGTTTGTGCAGCGTCTGAGCGTCAGGGTTGTTGTCCTGGGCGAACTGTGCCTGCATGACCTGCACACACACACACACACACACAAACACATCAGTGTTGTTCTGAACAGTGGCTGTAGAGGAAATGAATGAAATAAACATGTAGCTCCATATCTGCCCCCCCCCGACCCCCGCACCCTGAGCCCCCACCTCAACATCATCACAGCTATGGTTTTAATTTCTTAACAAAATATTTGTTTTTTTTCATTGAACAAAGAACAATTTCAATTTATATTAAAATAAAAAATGAATTTGCTTTCGCTGCATATTTCCATAACCCCTTCAGGGGGCACGAACCCTACTTTGGGAACCACTGAGTTAATCCAACAATACTGAACAAAGAAAATGTTAATTAGATTCCACGTTGACGAGTGATTCTGAGACATATGCAGAGATGCTAATGATTACAGTTAACGACACAATTAGGCTAATTAGGCAGAAAATCCAAGGACAGAATATTACATTTTAAAATAAGATCCATCATCAGTGTCGTTTCATTTGACCCGCAGTGTGGGAAGAATTGTCTTTAGTTCAGAATATTTTATGATTATTTTAAAATGTAAAACTAAAAATATATATTTTTACAATCAATCTAAACTACAGAGAAAATATTATTAAAAAATATTTTTCTCAACATGTCAACCTAAACTAGATATTTTTAGTTTTTATTTAGTCATTTTAAGTTTTAAAAAATTATTTAAGGTCTTATTTCTTTCTTTAAAGCTGTGTGATTGGTTGATTCTTTTTCATTTCACTGTTAATTTTCATCTCTGTGTCATTTTAATTTCTGTAGTTAAACAATATTTTAAATGTATTTTGACTGTCTGGTATTTTAAGCCGTAGTTAAATAGAGTGGTTTTGACAAACAGCCACTGCAATTAAGAAAAAAAAAACCCCATCTGTATTATCTAAACTGCAGCCTCGTTGTGGTCATATTTCTTGTAGTAATTGAATTTGTTC